CTCAGCATAATGTCCTCCAGGTTCACCCATTTTGAATAATATTGCATGAGTTCCTTGTTTTTCAATGCAGCATAGTATTCCATTGTGCAAATATACCACAGCTTCTCTACCCATTCCTTTGTTGATGGGCATTTAGGTTTATATTCTTAACATAGACTAGTGAGCATGTCCAGGACTGCATCTGCCAGTTGGTATTCCACCAAATGCTGGGGCCTTATTTTTTGTCAATACCTCAACACAGCTTGAATTTTTTCATTACTCTTGGTTCTTGATCACACACTACTTCTTGAAATGACTCAGCATTGACCACTTCTTTTAACTACAGTGATCCTGTGTACTCCATCTTATTTTGATGCTTCTTGCAGCATTCAAGATTTTGCCATCGTATTTCTTTTTTCAATTTTGCCCTGGAAGCTCACTGACTATATTCATGTCCTGTGATGACTCCTCCTCAGACACCATTAGCTTAATGAAGCACTTCCCTTAGGAATGTTGTGAAGAACAAGATTGGGGACCTTCCACTTTGATGGAGCCTCCAGAGACAGGAGGATGCATTAGAAAGGATGTGGGCTTTGAACTAAAATCCCCAAATTTCCTTGGACACAACCTTCTTCCTGTGCCTGTTTGCTCTCCTACATGGGCCAGTGCTGCCCTGGTGAGCTCACTGTCCACGAGCACAGTGGTGACCTCTCCTGCCCCTCACCCATAGTGACCCAGAGGCCGGGCAGTGGGCACTGTGCAGGCAGTGGAGCAGGGCTGCTTTATTCTCTTAAACATCACCTTTAAACATATTTATTTATTCTCTGGAGTGACCGCAGCCCACATAAGCTCAGCTGAGGCCCTGGCAGTCTGGAGTCCAGTTGCTGCCAGATGTGATGGGAAGATGGATGTTCTTCAACCTAAAAAAAAAAGGAAAGGTTTGACTGAGCAAGGTAGAAATAGCAAGTAAGTCCATGTGGATCCTGGAGCGAGGCAGTTGAGGGGACGGCCTGGGAAGGAGTGGCAGCCTCCTCTGGTGCACAGAAAACTAGTCTTAACACTTGGCTGCAGCAAGAAGAGCCCCAGTGGTGTTCCCCTCTGATTTCACCAAGGGAGTGCTTTGAGCCATTTTCAAGTAAGCGTATTTCTTCTCCCTTGCTTAAGTATCTGAATACAAATTTGTGTCATCTTTTTATTTTTTTTTTTCCATTGAGAACATAATTGAGGTGACTGAGCCTGTCCTCCAGGGGACTCATGGTAGGAAGGCAGAGGGAGTGGAGGAATGTGTGAGCCGGGCCTGGAAATGAGGCACTGCTGATGCTTAGGGAACAGTACAGTGCTCATTTCTCCCTGAGAGGCCAGAGAGCCCTGTACCCTAATGCCTCTCCTTCTCATCTTTAAGGGGATGTAGCCATTCTTCCAGCTCTGAGACAGCCCCCTGACGGCCTGAGGGAAAAAGGAAAGGTTCTGCAGGTCTCACATTGAGATGACTGCACATTGAGCCAGAACTTCAAGCCCTGCATTTGTGTGCTCTTGCTCTTTGTGTAAAGACATTTGCTAAATTCTACCAGACTCAACTGTTCTGCACCAGTGAGCAGAGCTGGCACCACTCTGTCCTCGTCCCTCCAGTTCAGAGCTGAACTGACCTGTATGGAGCCAGCCAGCTGAGAAGTGGAGTCTTGTTGGTTCTAGACACTGGGCTGCACTCTTGGTTGTTAGTAATACTGTCCACACTTCAATGCATCAAGTAAAATTTGTTCTTTAAGTCATGTATCCAAGCACATTTAGGGGGGTGGGGTATAAAGGCAAGAAGAACATGACATGAAAAGCCAAAAATGAATGTGGCAGACAGGAGTAGCCATGCCCATAGAGTTCTCTCACCTCCACGTTGCTTCAGAACCTTGGCTGGGACAAGAGAGAGAGAGAGTCCTGTACCTGAGCTGCTGCAGAGAAAGCAAGCCACCTGCTGCACCATGGGAGAGACAGAAGGACTGTGTCCTTCACCAGAGCAGCAGTACAGTGCATTTGCTGGTTGATTGAGACATTTAATCTCTTGCTTATTTGTCACCAGCCACGTAATCATCTCAGTGGAGTGTGTAGAATTGCAAAGTGCTTCCACACACTATTCTGGGAGAGGCTGCTAGAAGCTACTTGGGAGGTCCCCATTTTCTGCCACAAGCAATTGTCAAGAGAAACTTTCGCTCCCCTTCTCAGCATCTCCTTCACAAGTCATGCTCTCTCATGTAATCCATCCTCCATGTGATAAATACATGCCTCTCAGCATCCAGCATTGCATTTCAAGGAACATAATACATGCTGCGACCTGGCCCAATGTGTGAGGCTGTGTGCCTGGGAAGGCAGCTGCCTGGGAGCATCTTAACTGGCGGGGAGCCCAACTCCACACTCTCTCTTTAAAAAGCCTTACCTCTCCTGCCTCTTCACTCATAAGCCACCTTTCTGTGTTTTCCCTGACATAGTTAGTTTGTTCTGTATTTTAATTTTGGGTTTTGCCTGTTTTATAACTGACTGTGTCCCATTTCACCCTCCAGTTTCTTGCCCAGTTAAAGCTCATGGACTACAGCCTACTCGTGGGAATTCACGACGTGGAGAGAGCAGAACAGGAGGAAGTCGAGTGTGAGGAGAACGATGGGGAGGAGGAGGCGGAAAGTGATGGGGCCCACCCTGTCGGAACCCCGCCTGACAGTCCAGGAAATACTCTCAACAGCTCACCACCCTTGGCTCCCGGGGAATTTGATCCAAACATTGATGTTTATGGAATAAAATGCCATGAAAGTAAGCCTCATTAATTAGATACTCTCTTTATATGTGGAGTGGTTTGGGGTTTTGCATTGTTATCTAGCAGTATTCATAACTGCTGTTAAAAGTATTCTGGCCTGCAGTTCTAAAGGTAGCTATACGGCTATAATGGGTGTGCGTGTAAGAGAGAAATATTTATATAGATGACATCTGAAATGTTTTTAAATGTCTGTGTATACATATACACACACATATGTATATGAGAAGATTATATATACACAGAGAAAGAGAGACAAAGGCTACTAACCAGAAAGTTGATAGTTCAAACCCACCAAGTCAGTCCTCAGGGAAAAAGATCAAACAATCTGCTCCCATAAGAACTACAACTCAGGAAACCATATGGGACAGTTGTTCCCAGCCATCCAGGGGCACCAGCAGTCAGAATCCATCTGATGTCACTTAACAATGATATAGATATATGTTGTGTGCCGTTGAGTCAGAACCAACTCATAGCTGACCATGCCAGGGGTTTTCAGAGGCTGTGAATCGCATGAGAGGAGACTGCCCATCCTCCCATGGCGCACCTGGTGGATTTGAACCAAGTGCCTTTGAGTTGGCAGTGCAACTCCTTACCACTAGACCACCAGACTTCCTACATAAACATACGTACATAAACACATTATATAAACTCCTTTCCATTGAGTTGGAACTGACTCATAGCTAGACTGTTTCCGAGGCTATAAATCATAGAGATTGCTCTCTCCCTCTCCCTTATTGCCGATCAAAAGGCAAAGCTGTTTTAGGTTGGCATCACAAGTCCCTATAAGACTAGGCCACCAGAACTCTCTATTTATATTTATATTTACATTTACATTTACATTTATATTTATTTCTATATGTGTGTGTGTATGCCTGTGTGTGTATATATACAGACATACCTGTGCTATTTGTACTTTTATTTAAAAACATTCCATATCTGTCCCGAGTTAGGTAGGTATATGTGATTCTGTCACAGTCTGAACAGGACCTACCAAATGTAGCTAGAGTTCTACTGCTGTGGACACCCCTGTCTACAGTCCTTTCCTTCTTACAAGCCCTGGAACCAGGCCCTGCTGGGTAGAGAAGGAACATTCTTGCTTGTAATTGGGCTTGCCCGCACTTAGAGGCCTGGGGCCCCTGCTGTATCATGAAGTTAGTCCTATTTATCAGTGTCTAGGTGACTGAGTATTTGAAGGAATATTATATTTTATGTTAGCTAAGTAGTATACTTTAAAATGCCAAAAATATTTTAGAGATAGCAATAGAAGTGGGCCTATTGTTTTTTGTTGTAGTTGTTGTTAAGTGCCGAGTGACAGGCGACTCATAGCGACCCTATGAAGGAGAGTCCTTGACGCTTTTAGATAATCAAAATTGGAATTTTTTTCATTGTTTAAAAGCCGCAGTTGAGATATCAATTAAGTGGTTTTGAGTGGGGTTTTATCATTTTGTTTAACAAAAACTACTTATGTGTTAATTGTTCTTAGTGAAGCTGCCTTATGCTTGTAGAAGTCTGTGGGAATTAGGTATTGAAGGTGTACATACACATATCCAGTGCTGATCCTAGAACCAGGGAGAATTGATTATGAGTAGTTGGATTCATGGCAGAAAGGAATTCATGAACGTAGTTAGTTGTGCTTGTTCTATAGAGTATTTTACAATAGCCTTGTTTGGTGATGTGTTTTTATTTGTCTTTTCCCCTCTACACTAAAGCAATAAGTAATCATTGAAGAAAATGCAGAAAAGCAAAGGGAGACTACTCAACCTCATTCTTGGACCTCCACTGTCAATAACCTGGGACACTGAATATGTTCCTTAGTTTAACTTTTAGAGTGAAAGTGGACCAGATGCAGAAAGTTGCTTTTTTTGATAGGGAAATGCAGATCAATACAAATTTTTTTTTTCATAAATGTCTCCGGTGCTTTTGGTGTGAGACCCACTGAAACCCCTGTGCACCCTTCTCCTCCAGCCTGCATTCCCCTCAATCACTGTTCTCAACCCTTTACAGACTCTCCTAGGAAAGAGGTGTACTTCATGGCAATTATTGACATCCTTACTCATTATGATGCAAAAAAGAAAGCTGCCCACGCTGCAAAAACCGTTAAGCATGGCGTAAGTATCGCACTGTTTCCTCTGCTCTCTGTGGGCCCTGGTGCATATGTAGTGCTTGGACCAGCGCAGGTTCTGCCTTTTTCTACAAGGTAGCACTACCATTCAGAGCCCTTTAGTAGCTGCCATTACCTGAGAGGTTGTATGTTGAGTGCAAGATGCAGAGCCAGCAAATGCTGCCCACTAATTCCTACTGTACAGCAGTCCCCTGTGTGACTGAGGTAAGCCACTGCACCGCAGCCTCAGCTCATCCTCTACATGCCAGGAGTATTAATAGACATATCCAGTGCTGGAATACTGTACAAGTTCTTTTTCTTCTGTTTTGGGGAAAAATGTGTAAAAAGGAAAGTGCTAAAGATAATTCCATATTTAAATAGTAAATGTTCAAGACTACAGTACCTGCTTCCAAATTTGCAATATTACTTTTCTTTCCATGTAGTGAATTGTACATTATTGTTATAAATTTTTTAATACATATATCAAAATTTAATGATACTGCTTCTTCTCCTTGATCATGTTTGTGCTGAATTCTTATAGGAGTCTCTGGGAAGCCCTGGTGACATAATGGGTTGAGAATTGGGCCATTAACTGAAAAGTTATCACTTTGAACCCACCAGACATTTAATGGAAGAAAGAGGAGGCAGTCTTAATTCCATCAAGATTAACAGCCTGTGGAAACCCAGTACAGGACTTCTACTCTGTTCTGTAGGGTAGTTCTAAGCTAGAATCAACTTGAAGGCCATGAATCTGGTTTGGTTTGAAGCGTCTCTGGGTAGCATAGACAGTTAAGCACTGGACTACTAATGGAAAGATCGGCAGTTAAAACACACCCACAGGCAACTTGAAAGACTTGTCTGCTATTAGCTTCTGAACGGTCATAGCCTTGAAAACCCAGGGGAACACAGTTCTACTCTGCAACATGTGGGTCACTGTGAAGTGAAGCAACTCCACAGCAGCAATTGTTGTTATTATTGGGTAAACACTAACTTGCTTAGTCCTACAACAAGATAATGGGGGAGTCTCTAGGATTATCCTCATCTGAGAGTTGAAAAAAACCTGAGGAAGCCCACTTAACTGGTTACGGTGAGTGGTGGAGATCCTCCCTACCCAGGTCCCCGCTGGCTGCCTGTTCCATGTTACCCATCCATTCTGTTGCTAACCTTCTGTTTGCAGCCCAACACTTAGCCTACTGTGCCATTCAGGCTGCTATTGTGACCGATTAGCCCTCCTAATTGAATGTAGTATTGAGCTGCTAGTAGGAGCCATTCTCTGCCATCAAGCTGTGGGCTCCTCTATAGTGGCCTCAGCAGGCCAGACATGAATATACTTTTCCTAGTGAACGTGTTATTGTCATCAAATCAAATCCAATGGAGACCTAGTCCATAGGGTTTTGTTCTCCCTTCATGACTTATAGCCTAAGGGAGCTTTGGGGGCCTAGTGGCAAGAAGCTGCACTGCAATCCCAGAAGTACACGGTTCGGCAATCTCCTTCTTTACCAGTCAGATCTGATTTGATGGTACACTCACAAAAAATAACATTTTTTAAATTTTTTTAAAAAAATTATAAAAAGATTTGGCGAGCTCTGGTGGCCTCGTGGCAAGGAGGTGTACTGCAATCTCAGAGGTGCACGGTTCAAATCCACCAGATGCTCTGCTGGAGAAGGAGGAACAATCTCCTCCTGTACCAGTCAGATCTGATTTGACGGTACATACACACACACACACACACAAAATAATAAAAATAAAATTAAAAGAATTATAAAAAGATTTATAGCCTCAGAAACATAATAGAGCAGTTCTCTGTCCTTTGAGAAGCTAGACCTTATGCGCAAGATGCCATAAGCTGAATTTGAACTACCAACTTTTTTTATTAATCATCTGTCACTTCTTTGTGCCGTAAAACTATGAGTTTCTAAAAACAGCACCTGGTGATTTAGTGAAAACCTGGTCTTGCCCTTTAGTAGCTCAAGAAACAGGCCTGTCACTCCCCCCCAGTCTGATGACAGTCTGTCTTTTAATGGTAATAATCCATTCCATAAACGTGCATGAGGCCAGGCCTCCTTGTTTGAGATCCAACAGTAAAGGGAACAGGGGACGCCCTGAGCTCTTCTGCTGAGGAAAGCCAGCACCCTCCCTTCATGGGGAAATGCAGCCTTCAGAGGTGCTTGTAAATCACCTGGTTGTGGAGTTGGGAGACAGCAGCTGGGGCAGCGCCATGTCTGCCGTGGGTCACTGTCACTGGAACTCTCTGCTGGCATTACTCATTTTTGAGCATTTATCCATGGACTTCTGTCTAAAGATTGAAAAATTACCACACATTGCCACTGAGTTGAACCTACTCATAGCTGACCTTCCAGTGGATTTTTAAGCCTATAAATCGCCTGGGAGGAGATTGCCCATCTTTCTCCCAAGAAGCCTTTGGTGGATTTAAACTACCAGAGAGACCGTGCCTTTGAGTTAGTAGCACAATTCCCCTCCGGACTGTGCCACCAGAGCTTGTTGTCTTAAGCTAAAAAGGTTTCATTAACAGAGTCCTTATGTCGTCATCATCATCTGAGCTTACCTGGAGCTAAAACATTTATGTTTATCTCATTCTAAAGATGTATCCTGTGTACCCACTTAAAAAGCAGAAATTTTATGTTGATGTCTAAATGTGGTTTCACTCATATTTCACAGTCTCACAGAAACATTCCAGATGCTGCAAATTTAGTTCTTTTAAATTGCAACAATCACAGTATATGCAATAATAGCATCTATTGTTCTTGGCATATTTTGTCTGCCTTCTTTTTTAGACACAAATTCCCAAGAATTTTCTGTTATTCCATCACAGTAGCTGGGTTTTAAAGGGAGAAGCTGCATAGAATTGAAAATTTATAACGTTAGATTTAGCTGCAGTTGGAAATACCTGTAGATACTGGGTAGTAATTTCTGGAAAGCATGAGCATTGTGTCAACATTTCTCTTTCTTCCCACCTTCCCAGGCTGGTGCCGAGATCTCAACAGTGAACCCAGAACAGTATTCAAAGCGCTTTTTGGACTTTATCGGCCACATCTTGACGTAACCTCCCAGGCTGCCTTGGACGGACATGCACTGTGGGAAGGACAGAGGTGGCTTCAGTGTAGGACAAGTGAAAACCAAACTCAGCGAAGCACTCATCTTGCAGGAAGCAAACCTCTCTGTTTACATCTTCAGGCCAAGATGACTGATTTGGGGGCTACTTGCTTTAACAGCTACCTGATATTTCCCAGCATACTTCTAGCTATTTCTGACTTTGTGTGTGTGTGTGTATGCATTAAAAAGAAAGAAAGAAACATTAACTAAAACAGAACTGCTCTGGTCAGAATGTGTTACAGCAGCTCTGACCGTAGCTGTAGCAGAATGAATGAGTGAATGAATGAGCACATGTGGAGGAGGAGATGCATGTCAGACCAGCCACGTTGGCATCCCACGATAAACTGTGGATCAGTTTATTTTTTTTTTAGCTGAAAGATGTGAGACAGTATTCGTAATAATAATGAAGATAATAATAACGATGATAATAATAATGATTAAAAAGGAAAAAAAACTTACTGCGAATGTTACACTTGTACCCCGCACGCTGACACTCCTTAATAGTTGTAACACGAGCCCGTTGGTACCAAATGGGGGGGTGCTGGCCTCCCCGGGTGCCCTGTTTCGGGGCTCTGCCTCTGCACAGCGCATCGGGACCCCCCAGCCCGGGTGCACCCACCCCTCCTCCAACAAAATGCTGATGCCCTACTGACTCTGTCTGTACGTTTTCACCTCAGTAACTTATGTCCAGGAAAACTGCTTCCATCTCTTTTCTTACCTGGAGCTTCTTCATTGTTACACTCTTATGTTTCAATATAGGAATTAATGCTACAAAATACACATAAAACTTACCTGGAAAGTGCATAGTTTTGGGCAATGGCATCTACATCCCCCCTCCACCACAGGAAGGTAAGCCAAGTGGGAGGACTCCCAGTTCTCCCGTCATCAAAAGAAAATCTGAAGTCTGAGATATTGCTGTGTGACCATTGTTCCAATAGTGGTGTTTTGTTACAAATTGCCCCTTTAAATGGAAACCCTCAGTTTTACTGTTTACATTATTAGGAAAACAGGGATATTTTTGAATCTAAAATCTAATGTATATCATGTGATTTTTGAAGTTTACATGTAAAGTCATTTTACAGACTAGGTGAAATAATGTATGTTTGTCCTATTTCAACATGTCCCATGCAGTCCTGTTTTTGAGTGAAAGTCTTATTCAAAGTACATGGTAGACTATATGTTACAATAAAGGGAAAAGAGTGGCTTTGCTTCCTCCGGATTTAATTTAGCAACTCTTACTATTTTTTTTTTTAATTTAACCCAAATTTGATTATGTAAATTCATTGCCCTAAAACTGTGCTGATTGTGTTTAATCAAGTTGCAAGTTTCCATTATCAATCATATATTTACCGCCTTTCCTGCATTTTCTGAAAAGCGTCAATCTTAACATACTAGAATTGCTTCAAGTAGGTTATCAACTTATACACTGTGCTAAAGCTGTGCCTTTGAAATTCTTTGTTTAAAACATGGGGTAATTTTTGTAGACAGTTTCAGAAAAGGAAAAAACAACCCATCCTTCAATAATTACTTTTAACTTAACAAATCCCACCTGACATAAGACATCTCCCGGGACCTGAACTTCAGTGATATTATGTCTGTGATTATGCACAATTTATGTGGGTTTACTTCAGAAGGGATGAATTGAAAATCACAGGACCTTTGGAAGCTAGCAGTAGCACTGTCTCTGTTACTACCAAATTAATTTGTATAGATCTGTTAGCCTCAACAAAATGATGTTAACACCACTGTAATACAGCTATACAACTCTGTATCTTATGTGTTTAAAAATAATTGATACTGGGATTTGATCTACTCCACCTCTCCATTAATTCCTGGCATCGACTCATTCCAAAGTTATCCTGTGGTTTATTTGGCCTAAAACTATAATAGAGAGATCCTGAAGGTACACATACATTATATGAATAATTCTTTCCTTTGTGGCCAATCTGTATGCTTTTTAGAAGTTTACAAAATGTGTTATTTTTGTCTATAACAGTCTCTGTCATTCATTTCTGTTGATAAACTGTTTATTTGGACAGAGTGAGGAAGTTTGCATTGTATCTCCTTGAGCTAAAAATACACTCCAGACATGAGCAGGGCTTTATAAAATAAAGCACTTTTATTGACTCACAACAAAGTGAATCCTTTGTTTCCTCTGTTTGAATTACGTTGTTCTCTGTTGCTCACAAATTTTAAGTCCTCTGTCCTAAAAGTGTCTTTAGTTAATCTTTAAAGCTATAAAAGTAGAACTGAATCTTTGCCCTTTCTGAGCTTCAGTTTTTGATAATATGTGTCTTTCTGTCTAGACATATTTTATTAGTAAATAATAGAAATTTCCATGACAAAATTGACTTACCGAAAGCAAGCAGAGAGGGGAGGGGAGTTCTCTTCAGTAATTCCCTTGGAAAGTATGTAGTTGGACTTTCAAGGGTTTTTCTGGTGGACCAGTCAGCAGGGAGTTGCACTGTCAACCCAAAGGCTAGAGATTCAAATCCACCAGCTAGCTGAGCCTCGGAAGAAAGATGATTCATCTCTTCCCATGTGTTTTAGAGCCTCTGAAAACCTGCTGATGAATTAACGGTGAGTCTGGCCAGACTCAACAGCAATGAGTTTTTCTGAGTATAGTTCTGTGTATCAGCATTATTTGATTCTATATTGGAATTTTATGATAGAATGCTTTTTCTATAGGATTTCATTGCCATTGATGGCAGGTTAGCAACTACAGTTCTGCTATAGCACTTGCTTTGAAAATGCATATTTGCTCTAATACAATGAGAATATGAGGGAGCACATTGAGCATAATACAATTTCTCATTTGATGATGTTCCATGTTGTTTGCAGGAAACAAACACAGAGAACCACCCAGCTGAACTATGCTGGGCAGCAATACATAAAGCACACACCTCCAACATCTAAGAGCTACTTCAGCTCTCCACCTGTACCAGCACCACACTCAGTCTTCGTCTAGAATTACAATTTTCCATCTTGATTTCATATAGATTTCGGCTACTTCCCAAGAACTTCAGAGGTGCAGCCCTCCCAAAGCACACCATCGCCAGTAAATTTAAGTTGTTTTTCAAGATAAAGTTTTCACATTTACTATGGTAAACAGGTATTTTTAAATTGTCAAGCCAAAACTATGTAATGGTTTTTATTATTATGTGCAATAGAAGCAGACTGAATTCATAGTTCGGTATTCAGAGGCTGTAAACTACACGGGAAGAGGTTGCTGATAGATTCAAACTGCCTGCCTTTAGCCTTATCACTAAGTCACTTTCTTATGGTTATGTTGTTATTAAGTGCTGTTGAGTTGAATATGACTCATAGCAGTCCTATGAATAACAGATCTGAACCCTTTCCTATCCTGCACCAGCCTTATCCTCCCCAGTTAGGTTCACTTGTTTATGTATTGCTAGTGACATTCATGGGGGTCATTCCCTAGACCCATTTTTCTCATAAGCCCCCTGGTTTTACTACATGATTTTTTAAAGGAAAGACCTTTTGGAACTTGTATGTCACATTATAGGAAAACTTAGTGAGTCAGGATTTTTAATTCTGTTTTGCTTGTGGAAAGTTGTAGTACAAACATTCATGTTCTCTTAATTTGTATTCTTTAATATCCTGAATATTATTTATAATTCATAAAAAAGGGAGCTCTGGTAGCTTAGTGGTAAAGGAGTTGGACCACCAACCCATAGGCATAGGATTCACATCCACAATTGCTCCGTGGGAGAAAGATAGGCAGTCTCCCATGCAGTTAACTAAATGCCCCTGAAAAACCCTCTGGAGGGTCAGCTATGAGTGGATTCTGGATCCACAGTACACAAAAAGAACAGCAATTCATAAAAACACATTAGTATAAAGCACTAATCCTCAGTGCAGTGTTGTGATGGTTAAGAGTCAAGATTAAGACATTAGGAGCTATTTGTAATATATGTACTGTGTAAAAGTATATAATAAAAAGAGAGCAAAGCCAGGAGGCTGAACATAGAATAACGCTTCAGAGTTCTTATCAGTGAGCTTTGAAGCCTTCAGCAATATTGATACAGCCTCTGTATAAAATATTAATGAGCACAAAATTAACAAACTGGGTACCTTATATGTGCATCCTACTTCCAGCAGCTCCCTTATCCTGGTCTCTTATCTATAGCTTTCAAATAGTGTTTTGTGGGGGTTTTTTACACTTTTTTGGGGGGGGGGAACATATTGGGGGTACAAGGAGGTGAGGGTTGGGGGCAGAAGGGTGAGGATGGGCAGGGATGCAGTTGCAGAGCTGCAGAAATTGGTTGATGGGGGGAGCAGGTGAAGGAAATGAAAATGATCCAGTGGGGACCAGATGCTACAGGAAAATGACAAGCATTTTCCAATGATAATTAAATCAACTGTCTTATTGATTTGGGAACTGGATGCCGACTCTCTGGCTTCTTCATGCTGAACAGGGGTGTTGACGTGAAGGGGGAAAGGGAGGACACTTGTATCATCTTACTGGTGAACTTGGGTTAAGGCTGCTTGCCTTCTTGTTCTGTTAGAAGATATTTTCCTGTCATTTGCTCCCCTCTGGACTGCAAAGTGTTTTCTCAGGTGGGTCCAGTGGGGATGGCTGGTTGAACCCAGATGCTCCATCCTCCTTTGCTTCTTTAGCTGGCAGTTGTATTTCCTTTTTGGCACTGGCACTGGGTTTGGGGTCAGGTCTGAAGTAAAACTCAGTGGTAAGGTTACCTATAGGAAAGGGAGCAAACCTAGAGAGAACAAACTTGTGAGTTACAAATAGAGGGGTTTTGGGGGTGTTGCTTTCAGGTTTACTGGGGGAGAGGGTGGCAGAAAGTAGCCTAGATAAATGCCTATGGTATCCAGAGAATTTTTTTTTTCCTACCCAGGGGTCAGATGGCACAATCTGGGAACTGAGGAGCTCACCCCGAGCCGAGGGCCGAAGACAGCCCGCCCCGGGCACTGTAATCTTAGAATGCACCAGATCAAAAACCTGTTACTTTGAAGCCCATCCCAACTCAGTGACCCTAAAGGACAGAGAACTGCCTTGTATGATTTCCAAGGCTGTAATTGCTACTGAAGCCGACTTCCATATCTTTATCCTATAGTTGTTAGTAGCCAAGCATGTAAAATTTGCACCACCAGGACTCC